ACCGCCATAATTGATACAAGACAAGAAAATTAAAACAAAATCCTTAATTTAGTAACAGGTAATAGAATCGTGAAGGGTTAAAAGAGAAGTCAAACTTGAAATGATTAATCTGCATTCAAGATAATAATATGTGCATGTTTTGTAGTAATTTTAGGTGCTTATAAGATATATAATATTTTCATAAAAAATGACGGGGGTTCGAAAAGTGTGGACACGCCAACCAAGTTGAAAGTGTACATGCAACACAACTCAGGCCAAAAGCTTTTTCAGGTACCCTAATCGTATCTTTATGCACATTTGATGATATATACCACAAATAAAGAAAACAATTTTTAAGAAAATTAAGCAGCATGTAGTGAAAATGTAAGAAATCCTGTTTCTAATTCTTCAAAACACAATTCAAGAACAGTGGGAATTCAATTAACATACCTGAAGAAGATGATGATAATGAAGAAGAATAAGAAGAAGAAGAGAAAGCAAGATTTCTGATATGGTTCCTCGGAGGAAATTGTGAAGGTGAAGAAACGAAGCTCCTTCCTGCCTCCATCACACAAATACTTATAATTTGGGAGTTAGGAAAAAGGACAAAAAGAAAAACAGGCTTTTCAGTATTCTATTGTACGATCACTTGTGTGCATTTCATCAAGTTCTTTGCAGATTGAAAATGTAAAGGAAGATTAGAAGGGAATATTGGGAGTTTGAAGTTGCCAGTATACCCTTCCAATTAGGAGGGCCAAAAGGCTCGTCGGTTCGAGCTCGAACTCTACCTGGAAAAAGCCCAATCTTAGCCCGGCTCGGAACCGAGCCCCATTTTGGGGTGTCTGCTCTAACCTGGGCCCGCCCGACTAAGTAATATAAAAAAAAAAATTAAGTTTAAATGTATTGTTTTATATATTAATATTTAGTTATTATTTATAACACGCATAAATTGTATAAATTATAGATAGATTATAAAAAATTATAGATTTCTAACGAATTTAAAAAAAACACGAGCCGGCTCGGCCTTAACCGGCTCGGCCCGTTAAGGCTCGAGCCGAAAGCTCGGGACGAACCTCATTTTTTTGTCCGAGCTTTTTCTCGGCTCGACTCGGGCCCAAAAAAGTTCGAACCTGTTTTGTTCAGGTCGAGCCCGAGCTTTGCTCGTTGACATAGCTACTTCCAATGGATTAGCTTGTTTTCAGCTTTGTATTCTTGATTGACTATTATGCCCCTGATATTTTCAATAATTACGTTCTTATCCACTTTCTTTAGCCCAATCCATATTATGCCCAATTTAACTAAATCAAGCAAGAAACGGACATAAACACTAGTCGAAGCCAATGGAAAGGAGCAAATTTGTTTACTAGTTTATGTAGACTTTTATTTTTAGCACATACTTTTATTGATGGCAAATGAAGATATTTTTAATTAGGATTTTTCTACTTACACATCAAAATTGTACATAAAGTGTTATATAATATGATGTGAAGGGAAAATATTTGATAAAAAATTTAACTGTGTTTTAAACTAACAAATGTAGAGTGTCATGTGACATTATGTAACTCATTATGTAATCTCTGATGTACAAGTAGCAGGATCCTTTTAATTATATCTTGCCTTTCAAAAATGTCAACCGTGATGGGAACAAGAACGGGGGAGAGTTGTCCTGCTCCGTTGACACTCTTGCCTAATCTTAATTGTTACGACGAAGAAAAATATAACTGATAGTTATTCTTATATTTGTGACACACTACAAATAATGTCTCTTACTTCATTAATCCACATTCAATTTGAAGAAATTACTTTAAAATAAGATGCTACTCGACTTGAATCGCTTGAATCTTGTCGAGTCTTAAGAGAAGAGATCTGGACAAGTTATAGGCCCAACTTTAGAATGAAAAAAGTAGAAATTATACCCAACTAAGTTTTTTTAAGATTCAACTTCAAATATTAAATTTAAAGTTTGTTAATACAAAAATCAGATTATAATTAAAATTTTTAATATTAATAATAATATTATAAAATTAATTTAATTAACATACCCCACACTCTCCACCATCAACCCACCCAACCCGATTTTCAATATAAAAACCCTAATAACTTTCCTCTGCCTTCTCTCTCTACATCTTCCTTCTCTCCTCTCTTTTATCACTCCAACGACTTATCTCCACCGTCAAGCAATGGCGGCTCATTGCACGCAGCGGCATGTCCTTCTCATCATTCAAATCAGAGGCAGGTCGAAATTTCCTCTACATTTTCCTCTCATCGCTCATTAGAGGCCTTCCAGCAGCTTGGCCTTGTTTCTCTCTTCTTTTTGATTTTGAGGTGGCAAGAGTTATTTAATGATTTTTTGCAGTTTATTAATGTGTAGGTACAGGAGGCGGTGGCTTGTTTAGAAATTTTGTTGTTGGTGGTAGAGGTTGTGGTTGTTAAGGGATATAATCCCACATCGAATAAAGATATAAATATAAACCAACTTATAAAGGATTGAGTTACTCCTCTTAATAAAGTTGACATTTTAAGATGAAACCTCAATTCTTTAACATGGTATCAGAGCTCATTAAGCTATAACGAGCAATTCGATCCTTAACTTATAAAGGATTGGGTTACTCCTTTTAATAAGGTTGATCTTTTAAGATGGAACCTCATTTCTTAATATGGTATCAGAGCATATTAAGCTCTAACGAACAATTCGATTCGGTTAAAACTCTAAAAGTGAGCATACGAGTTTCAAGATTTGTCTGCTCAAGTGAGCCACCATCTTGTGGGGACACGTTAAGAGATATAATCCCACATCGAATAAAGATATAAACATAAACCAACTTATATAGGATTAGGTTACTCCTCTTAATAAGGTTGATCTTGTAAGATGGAACTCCAATTCTTAATAGTAGTGTGGTAGAGGTGGTGGGTATAATGGATTTGAGGAGATGGTGGAAGTGGTGGTGGTGGTGGTGGTCGGTACAAACATTGTTGATGTAGTTAGTGGTTGTGGTGGTCACAGTGATGCATACAATGTTATTGGTTGTGGTGGTGCAACCGTCGTAATAGTTCTATTGGTGGTGCAGGTTGTCATGTTGGTGTTGTGGTGCGGCATTTAGTTGTTGATAGTGTTGGAATGGTGGCTTAGGTGGTCGTGATGGTGCAACTTTTGTTGTAGATCTAATTTATTGATTTATTTTTTTATAGGCAACAGTTTTTAGATCTTGTTGGTGGCAGTGGTTTTGGTGGCTGCGGCGGTGTTTGTGGTTGTAATTTTGAAGTTAAAAATGATAGTTGTTGGATGTGGTGGCGATGGTGGTGCCACGATGGATTGCGTGGGGTGGGATTAAGAGAGGATTTCTGACCAATTTATAGAATCCCATATCTAATAAAGATGAAAATATAGACCAATTTATAAAGGTTTTGAGCTACTCCTCTTAATAAGGTTGACCTTGTAAGATGGAACTCCAATTCTTAATAGTGGTGTGATAGAGGTGGTGGGTATAATGGATTTGAGGAGATGGTGGAAGTGGTGGTGGCGGTGGTGGTTGGTACAAACATTGTTGATGTAGTTAGTGGTTGTGGTGGTCACAGTGGTGCATACGATGTTATTGGTTGTGGTGGTGCAGCCGTCGTAATAGTTCTATTGGTGGTGCATGTTGTCATGTTGGTGTTGTGGTGCGGCATTTAGTTGTTGATAGTGTTGGAATGGTGGCTTAGGTGGTCGTGATGGTGCAACTTTTGTTGTAGATCTGATTTATTGATTTATTTTTTTATAGGCAACAGTTTTTAGATCTTGTTGGTGGCAATGGTTTTGGTGGCTGCGGCGGTGTTTGTGGTTGTAATTTTGAAGTTAAAAATGATAGTTGTTGGATGTGGTGGCGATGGTGGTGCCACGATGGATTGCGTGGGGTGTGATTAAGAGAGGATTTCTGACCAATTATTTGACATTGTAGCCAAAATTTAAATATCTTGTAACTAAAAAAAACATGTAACCATAATTTGAGCTGTGAATTATAGATTTTGTAATTTGTAATCAATAAATAAATTGTGACTTAATAAAAAATTTAATTTTTGACTGAAAAATAGTTTATGACCAATTAATTCAAGAATTTATAACAAAATTATATAGAATTGTGACATTAAAATATTTAATTAATAAAATATGTTTTTATTTAATTATTTCAGAACTGAAATTTAATAATATTTGATTTTTAAGGTTTTAAACCTTATTTATTAATTTTGAAATGAGTCATAATTAATCTCTTAGATTTAATTTTTTTCCAAAAAACAAGAAAATAGTAGTTTCCAAAAGATCCTTAGCCCTTGTTTGCCACACATTCTTTCAAAACTTATTCAACCACACATTTTTCAATAGAATAATATTTTATATCACATCAATAATTTTTCCCTATTTTTTAACTATATATTTCCCATCATATTACTATTTAAAATATATTCTTTTCTCAATAACATTCGTCAAAAACACCCTATATAGAAATGTCATTTTCTGATGTTGATGGTGACATGATACGTGATATGGAAGAGGTCTTGATCTCTTTATTAAAAGTCCCTATAACTTAACACAATGAATACTCACACAAATTGCCTACTTAAATATCTTAATGTAAAAATGCAGCCCAACAAATTTATAAATCTATATCACTGTTATGTAGTTTCTATCTATTCGGATTTTGTAAAATCTGCAGATAAAAGATAAAACACAATTCTTGACTAGGTAACTATCATCAAAAGCTGCCAGCAGTAATTAACATCACTTCTCATAAAGAGCTTCTGCAGCCATCATCTACGTCTCTCCGCGAGTTTGCAGTAAAGTGCGAGAGGAAAACTCGTAAAAATTGTAGCAGAAGATCAAAGCAAACTTGAACTGCTCATTACTCTCTGTTTGGTGTAAAAAATGTCATCACCATATACAACAGCATTTTTCTTTGTGCATACACCGGAAATAATTCCATATTTACACTCATGATCCTTCGCAGTCAGGTCTTTACAGACTTTCATGAGCACATCCAAATGAGTCAACGTCCATCACCAATTTTCTTATTCATAAGTCTCCTTCTACCTTGAGCTTTAGTTTCCCCAGGAGTTGGCCTTCGCTCTCTACGTTTCAAAGGTGGCTGTGGATTGCCTACCCCGGTCGATGCCTCCACTATTTGATTCACCATTTCCAAAACTTCACTCATATTTGGGCGTGATTTTCGATGTCTGGCCAAGCAGCGGTTGGCCACATTCGACAGCTTCTGGGCTGATTTGTGGAAATGCTTCCCTTCAAGCCTTGGGTCTAATATTTGCTGAAACTTCTTAGTATCTGATAAGTATGGTCTTATCCATTCTAAGAGTTTTTGCTCCTTTCTGGGGCGATTTCGATCCAAGGGGCGCCGACCTGTAATTAGTTCGAAAAGAAAGACGCCATAGCTCCACACATCACTCTTGGATGTGAGACGACCAGTTTGAACGTACTCAGGAGCAGCATATCCCATTGTTCCAACAACCTGATCAGATAGAGATACTAGATGAATATGCGATGAAAAAGTAAAATCAAACCAATAAGATAATAGTTTGACATAATTGTAAGAGACATTTGAGAGTTTAACTATGCCATTTGTGATGCTTGATGCAGTTACAAGAAATCGGGAAAATGTCAAAGATGTACAAGTTCATAGAAAAGATGGTGGAACCTACAACGTGAAATATTAATGACAGAGCATTGACGGAAGGCAAAGGTATACACAGGAGATAGCAATATGAAATGGAATAATGCGGATAATTGCAACTAAATGGATGTAGCGGTACATCAAACGGAGTGATAATTCAGAACAAGGATTACTTTGTTGTTGATAATGCGTGCATCCATAGCATCAAGAAGTACAAGAAAAACATAATGTTCCAGGACACAACACTTGACAAGAGCCTATTTGTATTTGTCAAGAGTGTCTAAAGCTGTGATTAGCATTCCAAGTTATATTTTTAACAAGCCTCGCAAGGCCCATTACATTTGGAAGAAAATGTTTATACCATATATACTGCACGAACCGTGTATACAAGCTACCATGAATTAGGTTAAATTTTGAATCACAAATTCGGAGTATTCCCATTAGAAGTAGATAATACAATATAGCTAATAATTTAAAATATTTCCATTACAACGATCTGGGTTTAAATAATAATAAGTCAATGCCATTCTACTATATTATTAGTCCACCGATAGAAGAAAAACACCAATTGATATCGTGTCAAAAAGATCCCACAAGATAATATATGAACACTGACTAAAGATTTAATGCCCTGTTTGATGGGGATTAAAATCAGATTTTTATTATATTTTAATAAAAGTTGATGAAATGTGTGGTTGAAAAGTTGTGGGTCCCATGAAATATGTGGTTCAAATTAACTGTTGACTTTGACATTGATTAAAATCTTGATTTTAATTTCTGCCAAACAGGGACTAAGTAAGGCCGTCGTTCATATGTCACACTTTTTTTGTTTCAATAAGAAAGTAGGAGACAGAGTTATTTGGTTATTAATCAGGAGATTTGAACCAGAACTTTATCCCAAGTACTCTAGTTTGGATGTTTTAAAATAAGATAATTACTTCTCAAATAACACAAACGAGGGAGACAATAACCATAATGTAAAGCGAGCATACCGCAGTTGATACGTGACTCAGTCCTTCAGCAGGGCCCAATCGAGCCAATCCGAAGTCTGATAACTTAGCATTCCATTGCTCATCTAGGAGAATGTTTGAAGATTTGAAATCTCGGAAGATGATCTACAGTGTATAGAAATTAGAACATGATAAACATCAATCGCAATGCATGAGAATGCAAGAGTATAACATTTCATCTATGATGCATCGATATGGACACTTGACTGACATTTCAAAAAAGCACCAATAGACACGTTGTCAACACGTTGAGTAAATTCTTTAAAATTCTTCATTTATATAGAATAAATTTAGTTTTATACTTATTAATTTTTCTTGTTAAAATCTTTTAAATATGAGTATTTATTTGTTATTTAATAATTTTGAGTTAAAAATATATAATATTTCTAATTAAAAAAAATGATTACAATAGTGTTCGAAGAGTGTCAATATCGACACGTGTCAAACACAAATACACTACCCTAGTTGAAGGGTCGGTGTAACAGAGCATTTCATTGGACACATTCAAGTTCATATGATTTTATGCCTGCTTGTAATGAAAAGAGGATATGTTCAGCATGCAATACGGATACAAATGGATAATTGAATACACTTTTATCTTCTTTTTCTTTCTTAATATTGTTCAATACTCTCCAATTTAACTTACCAAACATTTCAATAACATCCAAATCAACAAAGAAAAACAAATCTAACATGCTAGTTATGAAAGGATAAGTGAGGAACGAGATCAATTAACATTCAATAAACAAATAGATGACCTGAAAATCCATTTCCTCATGCAGGTACGCTAAGCCACGAGCTGCATCTTGGGCTATCTTCAGCCTCATATCCCAAGAGAGAGGTGTATCTGACTTAGTTGATAAATGATCTTCTACACTTCTGTTAGGCATATATTCATATATTAGAAGCCGCTGGATTCCTCTTTCATCATCTTCAGCACAATAGCCAATGAGCTTCACGAGATTTGGATGTTCAACAACACCAAGAACATTAACTTCTGTCACCCACTCTTTATGACCCTATTATGTAAAGCCATGAATTATTTGTTAGAAAAGAAGATTCATCTCTCCGACTACGAGAAATCATTTCAGAGTTCAATTAACGATGTACTAATATAAGAAAAGTAACCAACCACAAACAAGAACGAAAGTTGCTCCAACATTTGGCATCATAAGAAGTAAAATAGATTTTCACAGCCTAACGCGTGTTGGAAATGCAATTTAAAAAATGTCGGCAAAAGTGCAATCTCCCGTTTATTTATGAGCCTCTTGAAAAGGTCTGGTTTTATTTAAGTGCTGACTTCTTTTTTCCCAGTTGGATCATGCTCACACGTTACAGTAGTGTTGCCTTCAACTTTAGCCAAAAAAAATAAGAAACTTCGGAGAATCTCCATGTTTGTGTCTATTCCTTATATATATTTTCTAAACGTTAGCTGAAATCAGATCTTACACATTTGTTATAGAGAATGTTAATTTCGATTTACTAATGAAAAAGAACAAGCAAAAACTAGAAAAACAAGTTTAAAATGAAAGAGAACGTGCCTGCATTCCTCTTGGACCAAGTTGTTTAACAGCAATGTCAAGTTTTTTAGTTGGATCTTGAGAATCCCTTATCACACCTTTAAACACACATCCAAATCCACCTTCCCCGAGCTTGGTAGAGCGGCTGAAATTTTTTGTAGCTTGTTTGAGCTCCGAAAATGTAAAAACTTTGAGATTGCTGGGCCTTTCGGACAAATTTGGAAATTGGCTCCTTCCTCTGGACTCTGTGCTTGTATCTGAAACATTCTGAGAATTGAATTCAGATCCTGATGGCCTCACTTCCTGATCAGTATAAAAGGACTGAACAGAATTCAAAGTTGTCGTCTTCGGTTCCCCCTTCTTCTTTCCAATGTAGAATTGGAAACACTTCATGACCCTAAATATTTTGCAATACCCCTCACTGGAGCTGTGGACATAGAGCTCGTGAAAATAAGTAACATTCTTGAGGGCATGTTGTTATGCGCTACTCATCAGTATATTTGATAAAATTTTAGATCCTTTGTTTCCTTAATATTGTCGAGTACTTTTCAATCTACCTTACAAAATATCCCACAAAGGGTTTACTAAATAAAATCATATTAAATATTATAAATAGAAAAAGAAAATGGAGTGTCTGAAAGAAACAGGAAAGCATTCTAAACATTAGCAACTTGTAATTTATTCTCTGAATAACAGGGGCAGAAACAACCACCTATTATGAGCTAGAACCTAACCAAATGAATGAGATTTATACTTGAAGAACTCATCACCAACAAGTCTATCTACTTTTGGCACACAGATTTAGCAGGCAGTTTATTCAATCTAAAAGACAGTGGGCTTTATGACTTCGTCCGAACCAGCCCAAAACATAAACCACTTAAAACATAAAGCATTCAACAATCTCATTTCCCTATAGTTCTCACTAAAATCAAACTCGACATACCAGGAATCCAAGCTAAAAGAAAGGAATATTATCCAAGGCAACATATAAAAGAAAAATAAATTCATAAGTTCTTCACACACTTCTAAAAATAAAATCACAAGATTATCTGGTAGAAAGCCTCTCTGTTTGTGGTGTGGGTAAAAAAAATGGGGGACAAAAGGATTTCATGTACAATCAACCTAACAGAAATTCAGTAAATTCGACAACCTAATCTATCTGATACATTTGCTGCTATGATCATTGTATAATAGAATTAACACCCCTAAAAGGCCATGCTACATGAAACTACATCACATATCAAGCTACGAAATGCAAAATCCAATCCCTAATTCAAAGATAAATTCAATTCGCAAATACAGGATATATCAAGCATAATTACATAAAGAGCCTTCAAATTTTCAAATGAATTACTCAGAAATATTGTCTAACAAGACTATACCTTTATGTTTCTTAATCGGACCCAGAAAGGCAGCTGTTCTTTTCTTGCTTTCCAATTTACCAAGAAAGCCCCAATCTTTGATGTAAACTCAAAGAGACCAAGACTACACCTTAGGCTGCGTAATCAAATAAAGAACCCATGCAGATCTCAGTTATACAACTCAAAAACCCTTGCTCAACAAGTTTTATATAACTCAGTTATTTTTTGACCCAATCTTTATGACTTGATACCAAGAATTCTGACTGCATAATCGAAATAAAAACCCACATTCAATTTCCAATTATCTAACTCAAAATCCGGTCTATCAAGACTTTACCCTTATTCTTCTTCTCAATCTGATGCCAGAGACTGATCTTCCTTCTTCTTTGTATAAATTATGAGACGAAGAAAATCCAATCTTTTAGGTACTATTACGGGGTGATCCAGCAAGATAGACTTCCAAAGCCAGAATAGAAGTCATGCTCATAACACACGGCAAATAATAATTCGGGAATTTGCATCGGAAGTTTCAAATCTTTCAAAATAATGCAAATAGTAACCCCAAACTTTTAAATAGTAGCAATTAGTCTCAAAATCTTTTCTGAATTTTACGACATAAGGACCTTTGTATGGTTTTCATCAAAAATTAATTAGTTGATAAAAATCCAAACCTTGATTTGATCAATTTTAAAAAGGACAAAATGATAACTTTACGTTTTCACCTAAAACAATTAAAATAATTAAATAAAAGAACCAAAAAGAGAAGAATAATATCACTTGTACATAGTCGCCCCTGTTAAGAATTGAAATTTCATCTTAAAAGGTTGACATTATTAAGAGGAGTAACCCAAAATCTTTATTAATTGGTCTTTATAAACATCATTTATCGATGTGGGATATATATCCCTTAATACGTCCCCGTAAGATGGTGACTCATTTGAGCAGACCAATTTTGAAATTCACGTACTCATTTTAGAGTTTTAATGGGATCGAATCGCTCGTTGGAGTATAATGGACTCTGATACCATGTTAAAAATTGTGATTTTATCTTAAAAGGTTAACATTGTTAAGTAGTCTTAACGGGATCGAATCGCTCGTTAGACCATAATGAGCTATGATACCATGTTAAAAATTGGGGTTCTATCTTAAAATGTTAACCTTGTTAAGAGGAGTAGCCCAAAATCTTTATTAATTGATCTTTGTCAACATCATTTATCGATGTGGAATATATATCCCTTAACAGCCCCTCACCCACTTCCCTACTCCGCAAAACACAAAATCATATTCTTTTCCACTTCTCCAATCAAAAAATCAAAAGGCTAAGAAATTAGAAATGATAATAAAGTCATATCGACTGTCAAATCATTTTGCAAGTCAAACTTGTATTATTTTAATAGTACAACCAATCAACCAAACGAGACGAATAATTAAAAAATATATATATATTTCTTCAACCCGTGCAATGAAGTAAGAAAGAAGAAACATGTATGTGTATGTATGTTATACTATTTTTACATTTTATTTAATTGAAATTGAAATATTTTTCCGGTTTTTAGAGGAAATTGAGAGGTGATTTATAGGGAATTCTTGGTAATAATTACTCATTCATCCCATTTTAAATAAGTTGATTCTGTTTTTTAAACGGATTAAGAAATCTTATTTAATTTTATTGGAAAATCAATTTTTGCCAAAAATTTTCCTCATTTAACCTTATTTAATTATCAATAACTAATGGTAAATTATTATTGGAAATAGTAAAAAAAAAAAAGGGTGTAATAGTAAACAAATAAAATAAAACATTTTCAATAAAGAAATAAGACTATATAATTGAAATTAAAAAAAAAATAAGGAAGTCAGCTTATATAAATGGAACGGAGGGAGTAGTAAAACTATCGACTTCACATTGTGATGGTACGATTTTTTTATTAGAGAAGTGGAGAATTGTATACCTGTGTGCTTGACATGATAGGAAACAAGAGGCGGTGTAATAAGAATGGAGGTGGTGGCTGGGGTAGGGGTAGGGTTTGTAGTGGGATTTGATTTGGGTAGGGTGGGCTAGGGGGAGGTGAATAAATATTTTTTTAATTATTTTGATTGTGTTAAGCGAAAAAAATGTGGAGTTTCCAGGCTTGTTTGTGTTTAATTAAAATTTGATTTTAATTTAAATCAAAATCGAACAATCAATATTAACCACATTTTTCATGGATCTCACATCTTTTGAACCACACATTTCAAAAATTTATAGAAGTCTTATATCGCACGATTTTGAAAGAATAGGGTGGTATTTGTATTATTCTGAAAGGTTTGAAACCTCTACTATGAATTTTCCTAATAATTATAACTTACAAAAGATTTCAAAAATCAAAATTCATTTATAAATACAGCACAACTTCATAACTTTTCATCACATAAATGCTGATAACTGATGAAGACCTTAAATGAGGAGGTCAGATGTGAAGGCGGCCTATTACAAGGACTAGGACACAACATTAAAGAAAGAGAAATTTTGCATCATGCATGGACGAGAAAAAGTCTGCACAGGGGAAGGGAGACTGCGTTATTGAGGTCAAACGTCAAAGAAGCAGCTTATTTCTTTCTGGGTAATTGGCCCAAAATACTTCTAAGTTTTGTTTTTATAGTGGAATACTCATCTATTTTTTCATTTCAGTGAAAAAAAAACTCTCTATATTATATTTTATTTGCTAAATACAATATTTTCTTCTATTTTCTCAATAAAGCATTGTGAAATGACGAGTATGCTCTCCTCATTAAATAAAATAAGAAGAAAAAATAAAGAATTTATTATAACTGCAGTCTCAAATTTTTTAGAAATTATAAATGAGTCACAAACAAATAATTTAAATTTTTTTTTTATGAAATATAAGTAATAGAACAAAAGGGGAAGAAAATATGAGAGTCAAAATTCATGTGTGTGTTTTATTGGAAATCAAGACCTGTATTTATAGGGTTTTACATGAAAATTACAATTGAAATGAAATGAAATGAAATAGACTTTTTACACTAGATAAGACTTATCTGTGTATTGTAATAATACTAAATAATCATCAATAATTATCTCATTAATTTAAAACACTCCCCGCTTCATAATTATTTGCACAATAACTATATCATTGAAACATTATTTGGCAAAAAGTCGATGGAAAAAAATATCAACAAATGAAAAAAGAGTACAAATAATTTGGAGTAATAAAAAGTTGTTTTGTTAAAATCATGTCAAGAAAATCAGTGGAACAAATTTTGATCGAAGGAAAAAGAGTACAACTACTTTCCCTGATTTCAATTCTTATATCAATTCATTATTGTCTTGTACGTCAATGTCTTCAAATAATACCTTCTTCATGCAAAACATTTATCAACATTTACTTACTGTAGTAATATGATTGTTCGAAAAATAGTTTTTATTGATCTCTTGTGGGATCTCATACATATCAAAGTATTATTTTTCATTACACAACGAATATGCCTCAATAAAACTTTATTAGGAGAAACCTCATAGGAAAAATCCTAATGAAGGAATACGCCACAAAAGTTGAATTCTTAAAAACCTTGCCAAGAAAACTCAATAGGACAAAACCTTGGTCAAGGAAAAAAGAATATAACGCGTATTTATTCCTCTAATGATAATATGACTTCAATTATGTTTCAAACATATTAAATCCTTCAAGAATAATATTAAAATCATACAAGATAAATTGTCTATTATTACATTTGTTACATACATATCAAATTTCATACATTGTCACGCTAATGAAACAGGGACTTATGATTACATCCACCACATGATAATTTATTTATTTATACAAGCTTTCACGAAATTCATTATGTAAAGGGCAGTATATTTCATACTACGACTTTATTTTTTCTATTTTCATTTTGTACAAGTATACACCTCAGGTGTTCGAACTATAGATCCAGAAATTTTAGGTTTCTCTAGTAAGTTTAATTTTATTAGAATCGCATCCAGAAACTTCAGGTTTCTCTAATAAATTCAATTTTAATATGATCCCGTCA